TTTTGGGGGACCCCCTTCCCCTCTAATTCCCTGTGATTTCTAATTCCCCGGAATTTCTAATTCCCCTGATATTTTTAATCAAGCAGAGGTGTGCCCAGGCCCTGCTCCCTGTGCCCTCCTGCCCGGAGGCTGGCAGGGGAGGCGAGCAGGCAGGGAGCGGAGCTGGGGCTGAGCCTGCTGGCAGGTTTTGTGGTTCTTTGGGGAAGGGATGTGTGTGTGTGTGTGTGTGTGTCATTTTTTTTATTCCATCTCAAGTTAGCAGCGCCGCAGCCTGCCCCATCTGCTCCTGGAGCCCCTCCAAGCACAGCAAGCCCAGACGGTTGTTGCTCCACATGGGAGGCGGGGGCAGTGAGTGGGCGTGCGACGGCTGCGGCACACGCGCGTGCATCTGCCCGTGACCTTTTTGGAGGAAGGAAGAGTTGTTTGGTTGTTGGTATGTTGTTGGTTTTTGTGTTGGTTTTGTTTTTTCCACCGGGTGGTTCAGTTTTTAGCAAGGATTGCAAAGGCAGAGCGGTGCCTTCCCCTCCCCGCTGGTTTAGGGGGGGTCGCCCGAGGCTGTTGGGGTGCTCAGGGGTGGGTGGATGGATGAGCTGACCCGAGATGGGTCCCTGGGTTTGGAGAGCTCAAGGTCTGGCTGTGGCTCCTGTGCAGAAGACCAGAGAGATGGAGGAGGGAAGAGGAGGGAGAGGAAGGTCTATGAGGAGGAAGGGCAGGCAGGGAGCATGGTCCCCAGCCAGGAATCAAGGGATAGAAACCACCAGGAGCCCCTGTGCCAACCCAGACCCTGGACCCAACGACAGCCCACACCATGGGGGGCTCAGGGAAGGGCTGGGCTCAGCTCTGGGGGTGCAGAACCAGAGGCAGAGCTTGTGGGGGGGCTCCATGGACTCCCCAGGGAAGTGGTGGAGCCTCCACCCCTGGAGGCATTTAAAAGACGGGTGGACGACGTGCTCAGCGACATGGTTTGGTGATGGTTCTGTCAGCATTAGGTTGATGATTGGACTCAATGATCTGAGTGTGCTCAGCGACATGGTTTGGTGATGGTTTTGTCAGCATTAGGTTGATGATTGGGCTCAATGATCTGAGAGCTCCCTTCCCTCGATAATCCCACGATCCCACCACGGCAGCAAACGCTGGCAAAGCTGGAGTTTGCTCCAGATAACCCCACGATCCCACCACGGCAGCAAACGCTGGCAAAGCTGGAGTTTGCTGGTGCAAACTGGGGCGATGCCAGAGGTTGCCGGTGCCAGCAGCGGCGGTGCCGGAGCCTGCCGGGAGGGCTGCACCCCGAAACCCCAGGGGCTTGGGGCGGCACCAACCCCTCCAAACCCTCACAAACCATCTCCCTGTTGCCAGGCCACGTGATGGTGGAGCTTCTATGGCTCCGACGGATCCTGGGAAAGATCCTCCTGGGCTCTGGGGAACCGCAGGTGACGGAGCGCCCCGGGGCCCGCGCCTCCCCCTTTTCCCAGGGCTGGGGCTGCGTCTCCCCAGATACAGAGCAGCACCCAGGAGGGTGCCTGATTGGCCTCGGCAGAGCCGAAATAGCCAGTTGTCTTCCCCTGGCCCCGTCGGCAACCAAAGGAGGCAGGAAGCACCTGGCTGGTGCAGGGAGGTGCCTGGTTTCGCTTCTGTCCCTCCTCCAGCTGCAGAGACAAAGAGGGGAGAGCCCTGAGCCTCGGTTGCCACATGGCTACCAGCCCCGGCCACCTTTTTCCTGCCCCGTTTGCCACCTTTTGGAAAAGCCCTGCTCTCTCCCCAGCTTTGGGGTGGGCAGGGGTAAAAGAGCTTTGAGGCAGGGATGGGAACACCAGGGCTTTGCGGGGGGGTGAGATCTGGCTCGTGTGGGAAGGGCAGAAATAACCCCCAGCAGCAGTTTCGCATCCTGAACAACATCGCTGATGTTGCTTTGCTGGTAACTTTGAGAAACGCCCTGTTTCTGCTAAAAGGGACCCCAGGAAAGAGGAGCACACCAACACATACACCAAAAAAAAAAAAAAAACCCAAACCAAAACAATCAAGCGCACTTTTTTTTGCTGTGAATCAAGCAAAACACCCTCAGGGACCCAGGGGACCCTGTCTCGGGTAAGCGAACTTTTTTTGCTGTGAATCAAGCAAAACATCCTCAGGGACCCAGGGGACCCTGTCTCGGGTCAGGACGTTCCCCGCAGCTGAGTTGGGTTTTGCACAATCTGTGTTTCCCCAACAGACCAGCCCCAAAACTGCCCCAGCTCCCGTGAGGAAGGATTGACAGCGCTGTGACCACACGCAGGGGCCAGGGCGTTTAAGCCCATCCACTTTTTTTACTCTAAATAGGTATTAAAATCCCTCCCAGACTGCTGGGACAGGAGGGGAGCGTTCTCCCGAGAGCCAGCATCACCCACGCTGCCCTTCCTCCCTGCTGCAGGGGTTTTACAGAGGGACATTAATTTCTTGGTGGGTGTCACACACAGAGGGACACTCTCTGGGTTTGTCCTGGCCCCCGCTGTGCCAGTGGGGCTCCTCTCTCCTGCCGTGTCCCAGGAACAGGCGGGACTGACCAGGAAAGAAAGGGCTGAGGACACGTCAAAGGCAAAGACTTCTGATTACAGGGGACGGCGTTTGACCCAGGCTCCATGAATTGGGCACTTCCCCGTCCCCTCCCAGAAACACCCCAATAACACATCCCCACAGAAACCCAGCAAAAAGGCTGGGCACAAAGAGGAGAAATCCCCATTTCAAGGGGCAGCAGGGGATGAGTGTGGTTTTGGTGACTTTCAGTCTTTTTCAGAGCTGCTCCAAAGCCTGCGACAAGAGACCGTGCTGAGAGCTGAGGCTGGGCTTGGAGAGGCTTTGGGGGGGGGGACAGATAAAGGCACACCCTCCAGCTCACCCAGCTGGTACAGCAGGTATCACGATCCTACCAGAAGAAAAATGACAAGCAAAATAAAAATAGAACGTGAGTCACCTGTGAAGAGGCCGGGGGGGGGACTCCCTGCTGCAGGGGTTTTACAGAGGGTAATTAATTTCTCGGTGGGTGTCTCACACAGAGGGACACTCTCTGGGTTTGTCCTGGCCCCCGCTGTGCCAGTGGGGCTCCTCTCTCCTGCCGTGTCCCAGGAACAGGCGGGACTGACCAGGAAAGAAAGGGCTGAGGACACGTCAAAGGCAAAGACTTCTGATTACAGGGGACGGCATTTGACCCAGGCTCCATGAATTGGGCACTTCCCCGTCCCCTCCCAGAAACACCCCAATAACACATCCCCACAGAAACCCAGCAAAAAGGCTGGGCAGAAAGAGGAGAAATCCCTATTTCAAGGGGCAGCAGCAGATGAGTGTGGTTTTGGTGACTTTCGGTCTTTTTCAGAGCTGCTCCAAAGCCTGCGACAAGAGACCGTGCTGAGAGCTGAGGCTGGGCTTGGAGAGGCTTTGGGGGGGGGACAGATAAAGGCACACCCTCCAGCTCACCCAGCTGGTACAGCAGGTATCACGATCCTACCAGAAGAAAAATGACAAGCAAAATAAAAATAGAACGTGAGTCACCTGTGAAGAGGCCGGGGGGGGGATCTGGTTGCGGCGGGGGTGGCGTTGACTCCCCACCAAACACCCCGTGGCGTAAGAGCTGTATTTTTATCTGGGCTGCAAACAGCTCAAATTTTAGAATCACAGAATAGTTTGGGTGGGAAGGGACCTTAAAGCCCCCCCCCCCATGGGGCAGGCACAATTTTAGATGATCTTGGCTCTGTCTGCTGGCCCAAATGCCAGTCACAGGCCAGGGCATGCAAACTGGCCATGGCACGGGCTACACCAGCCTGAAAATGGGCCACGGACCAGGGCACACTGGTCCAGACAAGCCAGAGGGAGGAAGGCCACCGTCATCTGACTTCACCAAGCCTTTGAACCCGGATGACTCCGGAGCTAATCAGCAACATCCAGTCGGGAATGGGACAGCCATTCCTCCCCAACAGCCCTGTTTCACCACCAGCAGCAATTTGGGTGTGTTTAAACTAATGAAGGGATGAGTTCAAAAGGGAGCGGCTTTGACATAGCCCCAAAATCAGCCCACAAATTGCTTTCCTCTCCAAGGTGGCATGTTACGATAAAAGCAGGAGGAGAGGAAGGAGCTTTGTCCCTGGGACCAGGACTGTGTCCCCCCCTCCTCAGCATCACCCCTCCAGGAGGGCACCGGCCCAGGGAGCAGGTCAAGGTGGGTCACAAGGATCCTGGCTGCAACTCAAGCCCTCCTGAACTCCATAAAAATGGAGTTTTGGACTGAAACTGGCACAAGATGATTTAGCAAAGGTCCTTAAATCAGGCCAGCTGGAAGGTGAGCACAGATGGGGGTTCAACACGAGCTGGACACCCCCATGCAGGGAAGAGGGTTCCAGCCTCTTGATGGCCACAACAGGATCTCCAGTGAATCAGCCCCAGCTGCCTGTATCGTGACAGGCCCAGAGCATCCTCAACATTTCGATCCCGTGATCCCTCACCCTTCCTCCTCCTCCGCTGGCTCCGTCACCCCCAGGAGGGCAGCGGGGGCAGAGGCTGAGCCAGGAACTGCCCTGTGCCTGGCTGGGATCAGAGCTCCCTTCTTTCCAGGACTTCATTTATGCCCTTCCTGGGGCTGGGTAGAAGATCCAGCAGCCAACTACGTCACACCTTCATGCCCTGGCAGGACACAGGGTTTCTACAACCCCACACTTGAATAAATCCCCCCTGTCCCAGCCAGAGCCCAGCCCGGGGAAGGAGAGGGCAGGAACACCCACAGCCCCGTGTTACTCACCAGACCAATTCCCAGCCTTAATTCCTCCTCTTTAGAGGGTCAGGTTTGGAGTCAGCATGTTGACTAAGCAGCTTTTTTTTTTTTCTTTTCTAACCCTCCTCCTTGCCAGAGCTGGGCATTAACAGTCACCCACACTTTAACCAAGCCCACAGCATTCCCAGTGTGGGATTTCAGCTGCAATCCCAACCCTCACCCTCTTTGTGAGCACACAAAAGTTCCCAGCAAGAAAACAAGGCTCATTTATACTGCTACATTTTTATTAAAGTAACAAAAGCGAACGTCTGTCAAAGGATCTGTACATTCTGTATATAAAAACACTACTATACAATTAGTAACCATCCACTCCCTCCTCCAAGTGTAGCTTACAAACTTTCTACCATTTTCACCAAATACAAAAAGCAGGTCCCGTTCAACAGTCCAGCTCGTTAAAAAAAACAAAATAAATGACAGGAAACCCCTCAAATACACTGTCTTAAAATACACACCATTCAGCTCTGCAGTTGAGTTTCAGGCTTGTAGGCAGAAGGCAACAGATCACACTAATTCACAGCTTTTACATGAAACCAGCTACAAGAAAGAAATGGATTATACCCAAGCTCAGTTGGTTTTGAAGCTAAAAAAAAAAAAAAGACACCTTTAACATCAGACTCCTCCACACTGGGGACAAAAAGAATGAGACTTGGCTATTTTGGTTCTGAAGTGGGGGCATGTTAAAAGCAATTCTAGTGTATTCCTTTGGTGTGGGCTGTTGTCCTGAAAAACTTTTCTGGTAAGAGGGAGGGAAGAGAGTAAAAGGAGGGGGTTAAATCTTAAGACTGCTTTGATCATGATAAATTACAACCCAAGGAAGTACCAGCCTTCAGGAAACTCCACATCCAGCCAAGGAGTCCAGGAGGAGCAGTGTTTGCTTTGCTGGATGCAGTTCTCCTCAAGGGCTTTCCACATAAGCAGGTTAAGTGAGGACTTAAAAAAAAAAAAAAAACAACCAACACTGAGATCCCTTTTCCTGGAAAAGGGAATTTGCTTTTTGGAAGTTCCCAAGCACTCCCCTCTTGGTGAGGTCACCTATTGCACAAGTTCACCAAGGGAAAAGCCCCAGTGCTTCATTTCAGCTTCTGCTTTGCTGACATGAGAAACTCAAGTGGTGCAGAGGGAAGTGATGCAACCCCAGAGCCACAGGCTGCTATTACCGTTCAAGGACAACTCACTCAAAAGGATCTGAGAATTGAGGCTGGTTTCCCAGTTCTGGAATTCATGATTTGAAGCTTAACAGAAATCCAAACTTACTTTTCCACATCAGAAGTCAGAGTTGGGAGCTGCAATTTAATTTTTTTAAAATATATTAAAAAAATAGCTAAGAACTGTGGCAATTGGGAGGCAACCTTCCTCTCCCAGAGCGCCCAAGATTTGGAAATATATTGCACAAATGTCTGAGAACTTGATTCATCAAAGGCTGGGCAAGAACAACTCTGGTTTCACCAGTCAACTGTCAGGTCAGAAAACAGGAAAGTTAAAAAAAAACACAAGTGTGCTGAGAGAAATCTGGGAAAGTCTCATTACCAACAACTATGTCAATGCCCTGCTTTTTCAATCACTTCTCCCAGGATGACCAGAAGAGCACCAGCTGGTTAGGAAAAAGGCAATGGACATACAACATCCTGATAAAGGCTCATTCCCAACAGGTAGGTAAAGTTCCTGGGGCAGCACTTTGAGTTCCCACCCCATCTGTAGTTCCCCAGAGCAGTTTAAGGGCCAAATCCTGAACACTTGGGCAAAGTCTCCCTGAACAGCAGCACCACTGGGACTGTAAGAGGAGTTTTGCTTGGACAGACAGAGCAGAGGACCAGGCATCCATTGTGCAAAACAGTTATGTACCAAGAGATGAGAACCAGAGGATGCCCCTCACCAAGGTCTCAGTGGAGACAGCTCCCAGGGACAACCATGTGCTGATCCCCCAGAGGAAGCAAGGGGAGAAGTGCTGAGACTTTAAAAGCGGTGTAAGGACACCAAAGCATCTGAGCATCCCACACACATGGGGGAGGGAAAGAGCCCCCCCAATACTTCTGATTAAAAGACAGGAAGGGCAAAGGGGGTTCTCACACACCAACCTCTAGGGCGTAAGGCGAGTTGCTTCAGCTCTTCTGGGGAAGTGACACGGCAAGTCGTCAGCATCAGATTAGGCAACTTTTACAAGCAAGAGGCCAGACTCCCACCCTGGGAGCACCGAAGGTCGTGGGCTGATGTTTTAAGTCACACCCAGCAGAAAGGCTTTGTAATTCACAGCTGTTGAGTGCTGGTTTGAGGGTCTGGAGTCCCCTTCTCAGCATGCAGGAAGTGGTGGGTGATAGCCAGGTACTGGGGAGCACCAGGAACAACCAGTACTCCAGTGCCACCACAGTAGCTACAATATCCATCTTGGGGACCTTCTCTGCACGGCCTGACCCCCCAGCACAGCTCTGCCTTGCTCCACTTCACAGGAGACACCAATATCCACATGGGCCTTTTTTCAGACAGGAAAGATGGAGGAGGTGGAAACAGGCCCTGCTCCCCCTCACTTTGTGCTGGGAGTGGGGCAGAGCAGAGCTGCAAGACTCAGGTCATTAAGTGGGTCCAGAAGAGATGTGCAAGAGCAAAGAGAGGGATTCCAGGGTCCCCAACATCCCCCAGCCCTGAGGCAAGGTTCCCCCAAACAATATATCCAGGCCCCAGAGAGATCAGACCAGCTGGGGAGTGCAGAAGTTAGTGGAGGAAAGATACCAACTCCGTCCCTTCTCCAACAATATGACCATCCAGCAATACTGCTGGGTACCAGGACAGCGAGAAGGTGACACAGACATCTCCCACCACCAAGCCACACTTCCCAGCCTGGCTTCTCCCCCCCCCAACACCCCCTCCCCTTCCTCCATTCCAAGCTGCCCAAGTGAGCAAGCCAGCCCAAAATTGCCATCCAACACTAATTAGGTAGATATCGGCTTCATAATAAAAACTCATAAGCTTGCAACAGCTTTAAAAAAGGCACCTAGAACACTGCTTCTGTTCAAAGCAGTGCTCAATATTTTAATTTTGGATTTTCTTGGATTTTTTTAAAAAATATAAATAGCTCTTCATCTTAAAAATAGATCCTCAGGTGAGGTATACAGTAGCCTGTGTCTTGGCAGTGTAAGGACAAGAGGAGTATTTAGCTGGAGACAGTCATGATGTAGTTTTTGGAAGGACTGGTGCGACCTAACATCAGCTGGTTCTTACAGGTGAGCATCCCGTAGGAGCTCCCGGGTTTCGTTGCCGTCGCTTCGTACAAGACACAGATGGAGCCGTCCTCACCGATGCGGTACGAGACCTCGTAGGGGTCCACCCAGAGGGTGAGCTCGCTGGGCAGGAGCTGGTAGAGCTGGGGGAGGCTGAGTCCGATCTGGCTAGCTGCCTTGCTGATAATGGGGTCCATTTTGTGATTGATCCGGATGCAGCGGTACCCAGAGCCTTTGAAGGGTTTCTCGGGAAACCAGTGATGTTTGTAGTGCTCTGCAAGGGAAGGGAGAAGGGGAGAGTGGTGAGCAGCAGCTGTGAGGAGGTCTGTCCTGCTGCAGTCCCAAAGGGGGTCCCACACCTCGCTGCAAGCGGAGGAAACCCAGTCCTCCTTAGGCTGCCTCCATCAGACAGAGGCTCCAGAGCTGAGCACTCCATTATTCAGGCATTGCTTGCTCCAAGGCTCAGGAGCACTGCTCTTCAGGTCCTAGAAAGCCCCGGGGGCTGCAGCAACAGGACCCCAACACCTTCTCACCCCAACGGCTGGGGTGGCCAGGGTAGATACCGTATCGCCAACAACAAAGCACCCCAGCCAGGGAGTAACATCCAGGTCATTCTCTTTAAGTTCAGGGGCACGTCGCCACCCCTTATCTCAGCACAAACAAACCACCCCTCCTCAGGGCTGATAACACAAGGCTGTGTGAGGCTGGGAGGAGACCCTTGAACCACCCAGTTAGTGCCGAGCCCCAGACGTACTTGTGGGGAGGGGAATGCCCAGCCCCACTGACTCAGGGCTGAGTCCCACTTGCCGGGGCACAGGGCACACAGAGCAGCTGCGGATTCTCCATCTCAAGCCCCAGCAAAGAGAGCTTTAAGCAGACGGGCTGCTGCCGGGAGAAGGCAGGAGGGAGCTGTACAAAACCCTCGGCAAACTGGGCAGGGGACCTGCTCGCCTTCAAGGGCTGAGGCGACCGTTTGTCCGGAACCCCCCAAGGACGGGGGTGGGCACCCAGGCAACGGCACAAACAGGTAACCGGCATCGAGGAGGACACAGCTGGGTGTCAGGGAAGGACACGGGCATCCACGGAGGGACCCCCGGTCCTGGAAGCAACACAGGCGGCACCGGGAAGGGACACCAACGGGCGCCCGGCCCTGAGGGGGGAGAGGAAGACACCAGTGCGGATCTTCCTCCCGGCAAAGCCCATCTCTTCCCCGGCCCGGAGGGTCCGCGTCTCACCTGCGAGCGCCTCCCGCAGCGCCCCGCTGAAGACCTGCAGCTGCTGCTCGCTGACGCAGCCCCGCGTCCGCAACAAGCTGGAGACGAAGCCCACGGCGGCGGCGATCTCGGGCGCCATGTCGGCCCGGGGGCCGCCGCGGCGCTGGTTCTGGCGCTGGCTCATGGTGGGCTCCCGGGGAGGGGCAGCAGCGGCGGAGGGCCCGCACTGGGCTACGGCAACGGCTGGGTCTGCGCCGCCGGCCCCGCGCCGCCCTTAAATAGCGCAGCCGGGGGAGGCGTCATCGCGGCGGCGGCTCCCATTGGCGGAGAGGGCGCGGTATGCTAATAGCGCCTGACCTCAGCGCAGTGGAAGGAGTGACGTCGCCGCCGTGATGACAACGGCGGAGGGAGGGGGGGAGCGGGGGGGGCAGTTACCGGAGGGCTATTTTTGGGGCTGACCCGGGAGGAGGCGGAGGAGGAGGCGGGGGTCGGGCTGGGCTCACCCACCCCCTCTCTCCGCACCCCCCTACTCCAGGGCAGACCCCTCCCCCCCCACTCCCGGGGCTGTGACACCCGTGGGCTCGGGGGGACCCCGACAGCTCGAGGTGACCGGTCCGGGGTGGGGGGGGCAGAGTAACGGCTCCCGGACCGTCCTGAGCGGTGGAAACTCCCCTCCCGGATCCCGGATCGGTCCCTTTGCCGTCCCGGGGACCCCCCCCAGCTGATCCCGGGTCACCAGGATGCTGGTGGGGTGTGGGAAGGAGGCCCGGTCCCCCTGTCCCCCCCCAGCCCAGCCTCCCCGGCCGCTGCAGGGAACCCCGGGATGATGGGATCATGTTCCCAACCCTCCCCACCAGCGGGTCAGTCCATGGGCCACTTCCACTAAGGAACGTGGTGCCTCGGAAAGGGTAGAGCCAAGGCTTGTCCCCACCAGGCCACTGGCAAGTCACTCACCGAAACGCAAGGGACTGAAGGAGCGGTGCCACCAGAGCTGGTGCGAGGGGAAGGGTGTCACAGAAACACAGAATGGGTTGGGTTGGAAGGGACCTTGAAGATCATGGAGTCCCAACCCCCCTGCCCTGGGCAGGGACACCTCCCACCAGCCCAGGTTGCTCCAAGCCCCCTCCAACCTGGCCTTGAACCCCTCCAGGGATGGGGCAGCCACAGCTTCTCTGGGCAACCTGGGCCAGGCTCTCACCACCCTCACAATAAAGAATTTCTCTCTAGTATCCAATTTAAATCTCCCCTCTTCCAATTTAAAACCATTCCCCCTTGTCCTGTCACTACACTCCCTGACAAAGAGTCCCTCCCCAGCTCTCCTGTAGCCCCTTCAGATATTGGAAGGCCACTATAAGGTCTCCCTGGAGCCTTCTCCAGGCTGAACATCCCCAGCTCTCTCAGCCTGTCCTCATAGGAGAGGTGCTCCAGCCCTCTGAGGGATGTGTCCCCAACAGCCATCAGGCCCTGGGGTCCTCTGTGCTTCTGCACGGGCTCCGGGTGCTGGATGGGCACCATCGGAGCAGCCTTTCTGCTGGCCTGGAATGACACCGACCAGTCACCCGGCACTGGCTGCAGCAGTGACCCATCCCCGGCGTCCAGCCCTTCCATCCCTCCTGCCTTCACAGCTAGATGGGCTCTGTCCCCCTCTGCACATGGGGGTCTCCCCTCCCCGACAGGTTTCCATCACCAAACAGCCTTCCCCAAGACACATCACAAATCCTTGTTCCCTGGAGAAGGCCAGATCCTTTCCAGAGATCCCTAGAGCGTGCAGGGAGAACTCGCCAACACCTGCACTGCCATAGACCAGTGAGGGAGGTGAGGGGGGATGTGACAATAACCACTTTTGAGTCACTGCCTGAGGAGGGTTTGAGGTGAGGAGCGAGGGCAGACACCCCAGGACCCGGTGCCTCCCTCCAGCCAAAAGCCAGGCTGGAAGAAAAGCGGGATGCAGGAGGAGGTGGCCTCAGCGCAGGGGACGTGTCGGATCACGGAGCAGGGAGAACAAGCCAAGGCAAGCACGGAGCAGAACCAAGCGTCCTGGGTTGCCTCCATCCAGCCCAGCAGGAGGGGAGAGGAGAACCAGGGCAAGCTGTGCAGGGCCCTGATGCTTCGTGAGATGCAGACGGCACCTTAAAGCCACTACAAAACGGGGACCTGCACCAGCTGGCCCAGCTGCCAGCCACGCTGGCCAGGATAAAGGCACTCGCCCAGCTTCTGCTGAAACTGGCCCGAAGCTAAAGCAACAGTAGGAGGCCCAGCTCTTTTCTTGCCTTCGCTTTGATCAACCATGAGAGAGTTAGTATCAAAACAGGATGGGATTTCTGAATGAATATTCCCTGGCAGAGGAGCGGGATTGTTTCGAGCCATTGTCTGGCGGCCCCAGATGCCTCCCTCGGCGTGCACCGGGGGAGGATCAGAAGCCACAGCTCCGACGCGCTCCCCAGCGAGAAAGGCGTTCTCCTCCTATGGCCGGGGCCTCATTTGGCATCTCCGCAAGCAAGTGGGTGCAGCTGGAGAAAACCGAGGCGGGGAATTAGATCATCTGGGGTTTGCCTCTGCCCGAGGAGCAGCCCCGCGGAGGCTGAGCCGGTTCCCAGAGAGCCGCTCCCGGTGCTGGCACAGCGCTTTGGCCGCGGCGCTCCCCGTGATAAGGAGGCGCGTGCGCCCGTCGGCACGCAGCCTGCCAGCCCCTATCACCTTCTCACAGCAATTTATCACACCACTCGGGGTCCTGGCCCATCTGGGCGCTGCTCTTGGCAAGGGGTAGCGAGGGCACCATCCCTCCTGCCCCCATCAACAGAGGGGATTTCGTGCGGGAGGTCGGGGGGGAGGGTTTCCAGCCCCTCTTTATTCAACAGGGCTCAAAACTCCCAATTGTTCCCCATGACTCAAGGGTGTAATGGGATTTTTGGAGGCCTTTTGCTTCCAGAGCCTGCAGCTCGTTTTATTTGCCCCGCTGGCATTCCTACGTGCACGCACTGTGCATGGGATTTCACACCTTCCTACGTAGCAACGTGTAACCAAAAAGCCAGAGCAAAGAGGTAGAAAATAGCTTTGAAAGTTATAGGAAAGGGGTGGACGTAACATCCTGCCCCAGCAGAGGTCTGCAATCTGCACTGACCCTGTTTCGTGTTCTGCACAGCTTAAAAGAAAGCGCTTTGGGCAGCGGGCACAGAAATAGGGTCAAGCAAGCAAGAAGATAGAGCCGAGGGGTCCCCGAGTCCTCCCCTCCCCGCTCCATCTGCTCCTCCATTCATCCGCAGAGCACAAGGAATCAAGCAAATCTCTTGCTATAAACCAGATTTGCCTTTGTAAGCTTTGAAATAAACCCAAGGATTAAAGTCTAAGGCCTTTTTTTTTTTTTTTTTTAAGTCAGCAACACACATGAAAGAGCACATGGGTGCCTGTGAAACCCCGAGCACAGCACAAGGGGGTGTGGGGGGTGTTATTTATACCGTAGCAGGAGCCAGAGGCCCCTGGAAGAGGCTGCATAAACACCCGGTGCAAGCCTGTCCACGCACAGCTCCATTCCTTCAAACACACCTGTACTGTCAGCCCGCAGACACGCTCGCCGCGCGTGGGTACAGTCATCGTCAGCAGAAAATTAGGAAGCATCCTGGTAGGAGATACACCTTTGTTACAAATAACATCAGTAAAAGGCAAAGCAAAAATAAACCCTCATTTTTTTTCTACTGCAGCAAAGCACAGGAGGCCGGAGCAGAGTTTGCCATCAAGCTGAGAGGAGGGAAAAGGGCTTGTTTCCCCCATCCAACACTCAAAAGGTATCATCCAGTCCTGAGTCACTGGACAATGGTTGTAGCAAGAGGTTCTCTGTCCTCCAGCCTGCCAAGAATAGCACTAATAGCAAGCTGGGGTTTATTTGCCATTAGGGCTAACAGTGTTCGTTAAGTGCTGCTGATGATCTAACCTTGGCGAGCAGGTTCCCCTGGTCCCCCCTGCTCCGCCAGTGGATGAAGTAAGTGGTGGCACCATTCTCCAAATTCAGATCCTCCATTTATTCTTAATCATCACGACTCTAAAGGCTCCCTTCGCGCAGCTTAGGGTTGTTCAGATGGTCTGACACAGGCCCCGGGCTCCCAAATCAGATTGTCTTCGTTAAGCCCTTCCAATAAGAGATTTCCTGTGGAGCTCAAGGACCTCTAAGCGGGTTACGTGCCCATAATTTCTGGCCCTGTTACAAGACGACTGCAGTCTTACAGACAGGGCATAAGACTTAATACGTGCTTTCAAATTGCTTTGAGGAGTTACAGAGTAAACAAACAATTAGAAAATAAAATTCATTTTAAAAAGAGAAGTTAGAGCTGTTTTTAATGCCTCTCTGGCTAGATTAGTTTCCGCCCTGTGTTTAGCTGGAAATGGCTGAGAGCATTTAGATTTCAATTAAAAAAAAAAAAAAAAAAGAACAAAAAACAATAAACCTCTCCATAGCAATTGGCCAGGCTAGATTTGTAACTGGTTTGACAGGAATTCGAAGTTCAGATAGGCTTTCAAACACTGTGGCCCTGTTTATCCAAATGAGGTTGAAAACCAGTTGAGCTGGAAATTTTTACAATAAAAAGGGAACATTTGGCTTTCAATCAAGGGTTAAAACTCGGCAGGGACAGAGCCAGCTGCTCACACAGAGTTACGCTTTTCAAGAGTCAGCAACTCGGGGTGTTTTATGTACACCTAAAAGGCAACTGTTCCCACGCTACACTGTGTTTTTTGGGGGGGTGAGGACACCTTTTTTGAGTCTGCTGGGCTGAAGTTCGTAAGGCGTGAGACACAAAAACCAATTTCAGGCTGTCCTCGAATACCATTAGAGTCAGCTGCCAGTCAACCAGCCCCAGTGTGAATCTGCACCCCCTGTTATCAGCAGTAAAATAGTTACACGGAATTAACATTCAAATCCTCCCCATTAGACATGTCCCACGGATTGCTAAATTGGCTGTCACTTCTGCGGGGTGGGTCCCTCCCAATTACCCCAGCATCGGAGAAGGATTTTGAAGGTTATCTCTGTAGATTGGGAAGCCAAGGGCAGGCCTTTGTTACATTAAGAAAAAAAAAAAAAAAATTTAAACAAAAGTCTCTGGGAACAGTTCTGAACTGTAAAAATAATAGATGTATTGGCCCGGTTCAAATCTCATTGTCTGGCTCTGCCGGAGAAGGCACAGACAATTGTGACCGGCAGTGCCAGCAGCCACCTGGTTGCTAACACCAGTTAAGCACAATCACTGGGAAT